AAGACGACTTTATTACAATTTTAAACCAATGTGTATATGCTTCACAGCATGTCGTGCAATATTTATGGTGATTATTATACCAAATAGGAGCATAAATTTAGTGCGCCATATGAATACTAAAATATAGGGATATTTTTAATTTGCCTGCATTAGCACCATGCATTAAAGGGTCATCCAAATATTATCTATTTAGTACAAAACTGTTACTACTGTTGAGCAATAACCAGTCACATATTATTTTAATATACAGAGATGTATGAAAGTGTTTTATCGCCTATCAATTAAAGCGTAATTATTCATACTGTGTGAAAAATGTTCAAACAGCGACATTCTTTTCGATGTAACTTGCAACTCCTTAAAAATACCTCAATATAACATATTCTCCTAGATTGGAATTCTATAGCATAACATAAACCTAATTGTTGTATCTTAGCATTTCGTAGTCCAAATTGAGAGCGTTAAGTTATATTTAAGCTCTATAACTAGCTTGCTGATTTTATTCTGTACAGCGAAGCAAAACAAAACGAACCCATGGCAAAGTGTCAAAAAATCAACATTTCAAGCGATCCTTCTATTTTCTCTTGTAATCAAGATGTAATAAATGCTTATTGGATCCACTACAAGCTTTTCCAATACAAGGTTGCCGTGATGCCAATACTGGCCATCTCCAAACGGATTTAGTGAAACTGTCTGCGTTGTTTTAAGAAGGGTTCGTGGATCTTTCGGAAGTGTATCGGAAAGCCACTTGTTCACTATTTTTAAGAGCTCCTTCACCGCACTGTGCCTTATGTTATATGAGGGAGCCCATAACTGTAGATCCTCCAGGAGTTTCATATTGGCGATCGTCTCATCTTCATCATGTTCAAAAGAACTGAATGGGGGTTTCATTTCATGTATGTGAATAGATTTGTTTTTTTTTTTTATATTGGTGACAATTTTCAGAGTATTTTTTGTTATTGTTGTAGTTTATTTCTTATCAGTGAGTCTTAGGCCTCTGATAATGATGAAAGTTGTAATGAGGCTTTAATGAAGGTCTAAGACTGCTTCATGTTTTATATCGGTCACGAAAAGTATGCCATAAAACACAATTGTATGTTTTGTTTTGGTTTTATCCTACAGTTATAGGTAGTGATACAGAACCACCTTACAGCTACCGTTAAAACTAAGAAGTCTGAGTTTTAATTTTGTAGTCATAAAACAGTTTTATAGACGACTTGACGGCCTGACACAAAACCGTAATACAACCACAGGCTGCAAGGGATGCTATAATAAAACAATGATAAGATAAGAATAAATCTTCCTCGCATTTAGATTGTTACTTGGGCATATACCGGCGAGGATCCCAGCAGAACAACGGAGCTAAAGATCTTTGGTTCGAAACTAGGTATTGCAGGTAATATTGACTTTATTTTTAAATAAAGTCTTATCATTTCAAAAGATAACTCATTATATTTCAATTTCCATCTTCTATTCAAACCAATATCACCAGGTACAACCAACTTTAGAAAATTTGAGGTTCTTTTGAAAGATATTTTTGTTTCTTGCTTTTTGTTTTTTCGTCTGACTATATGGCGATTTGTATAAAGTGCCGTATTGAATCATGTGAAATCATACAATGTAGGAGTATTTTTCCACATGCACGTATACAACATTTGAGTTTATAATATATTGCATTGCATCTGACATCATATAACATTTTATGTTGCAAACAATAGGTATTGTTCACCTGCACAACTTTCCCGACGACAAAAACCATCTATCAAATCGGGATGTCATGTAAGCAAGTAATTATATATCAAATGGCACACTCTCGCTACCTGGTGAGCGAGTTCTGAACTGAGCATTACACCATCCAATACGCTTTATTTATAAGAACAACGTTGGCCAAGACATCAACCTTCTGTTTAGTTAACACGCAAAAAATTCGACATATCAATAAATTTTAAGTTAGTTTTTACTTTATTGTTCGTAAAGCTTTTTCCTATTTATGCACACTAACCGAGTTAGTACGGATTTACTGAGTTTTTGAATTGCGGAACTGTTCGGTAAAAGTTTAAAAATCTGTGGAAAATTTATTAATGAGAAAACTTGTTCTGAACTTGTACATACTTAGTTCTGTTAACCCCAATTAATGATAGAAAATAAAATTGGTCGATTTCATAGATTCCTTACGAATAACGTTCATTTGAATTTTACCGACTTTTTCAGCAATTCAAAAAGCCAGTAAAAAAATACTAACTCCTGTAAAAAAATCTTAGTGTGTGGATTACCCTAGTTTACTTCGAAAATAATTCATCCTATTCTACACATTTCTTCGGTAATTTTGAATGGGCGTGTAAAAACTATAAGCAACATCTCGATGAACATTTCAAAAAGCCCGATCTGCTTTGATCGATTCGCTTCACTGACTTTCTTTTGCGTTAATAACTCAGCTACATAACATGCCCACCACCACATTTGCAGATGAACAACTATACCACAAAAATTACAGGTGCGCTCTTTTATAATCTCGCTATCGGGTATCTGCCTGATAGTCATAGTAAGCGCGAGAGCAAGCGAGCACTTAATGGTTGATTATGTTAAAAAGGATTTTATCAATAGTTCACTATTGATAAAATCAATAGTTGACTATTGATAAACAACTATAATCTTTACACCAAACGAATCTTACATCAAATCTCAATCAAGTGGTGGAATAAGATTCGAAATCCATCCATAATTGGTCAAGTTATAAGCGTTCAAAACCTGACACTATTTCGTCACACTATTTTTTTTTCGTTTGCACCCCAGTATATTCCACAAAGACGTAGCTCATACGTCAATACTAACCGTTAGCATGAACTACCTCTCACAATATTTGAACGAAGTTACCTATGCTTTTGGATATCGTTGGTTCGGAGAGTATCAAAACTGACATTATGATCAGAACTATTCAAGACCTTCAATACTGCGGATCGTTAACCAAAAATAATCTGACGAAGCGAATTTCAATCGAATCTCTAGTATCCAGCCTTGTCGTATCGAGTATCGAATCTCTAGATTCGCCAGTTGTGAATCGGTCAAAGTTTGCAGTATTCAGTAAATATTACAGTATTATCATTCAGTATTTTACAAGAAAACTGCACGCACTGAAGCTTGAGGGTTTCGAAGATGACGGAAAGTAAATGTATTTTTACAAGTATTGTAGGACTTTTATTAGTCATAAGTATTTACCGGAATATTCATTGCAAACAAGGAGCTAGTTAACCTTCCAATGGAAGGAAAAGTTGTGACCGAGCTGTTGGATCATGCGCAAAAAAATATATCTGGTAGTGTGTTGAATATCATTGATGCGAAAAAAAAGTTCAACCAAGTTCAACAATTGGTGGAGATTTGAAAAACTCCGTTCGAACTGTTTAAAGGGAAAACTAATTTTTGAGACGCTGAATGTATAGCTGTCATAATGACTTTTTAATAATCATTGTAGCACTGCAAAAACTATTTCTGTTCGACACGATGGTGATGATGGATTTTTAATATTTGTTTTAATAGTAGTAGATTTAAAAAAAGGTAGTCTACAAAGGTTTGAGCCTCGCGCACGTATTACGGATATAGAGGGCTGAATTTAAAATTTGATAAAAAAAAAATGCATAGCATCAGATTGCGGGGTTGCTAGTGTAATAGGATGCTTTGTTGATTGTTCGTTAACTCTTGATTGCTATGAATATTTTAGGTGGACAAAAAGGCGAACTAAGAGGTGGATGCCTGAGCTTTTCCACATTTACATCGCTGTGAAGCAACTATAAACTCTAGATAGAATTCATATCTTTAACTGTAACTAATTCGATATTTGTAGGGGTAAGAGGTGGGACCATCATGAATAATAAATTGTTGATGTAAAATACTCCAGTAGATTAATTTACGCACATTGCGCAAATTTATGTAGGGTGGATAAACCAGTCATGGCTATACGTTTCTATTATGGTATGTTCCAGTTATGGCCTATGGGAATTCCATAATCACGAAAAGGAAAACGACATGATTCGGTGTGACAAAAGTATTTGACTGTGAGTCTATTGAGAGGTAAAATGCGCATTCTCGTGCATCTTCACACCTTAGGCCTTCATGCATATGGCCTATGAATATATTCCACTAGCGATATCAAAAATTGAATCCAAGCACATACTCCAAACTTTCGTCTCGCCGAATAATTTTTATGACAAATCGCTCATTTCCTGCCACAGCATTTCGAAAATTAGCTTCCATCATTCACGACATAAAGAAAGACACACCGGGATAGAGTCAGAGGAATGTGTCATTCGATTTGAGACGCCACGACTACTGTCTGCGTCTGATGGCTTCAAGAAGAAACCCCACTCGAAATGCCTCCCTCGCAACGGCAACGGCAGCAGCCAGCAGGAACAATGAAACGTGTGGAGTGCTGCATAATGACAAATCACATATTATTTTCGACTGTGACAGCTTCCACCAATCTATGCGAGAGGAAAGATCAAGATCTTTCGATTTACTGATGTCTATATAGAGGTGCTCGGCGTCGACCACTACTGTGGAGATTCACAGAAGAAAAAGAAATAATCGGAGGCTGTGAATAACGCATAAAGCTAATTTCGTTGACGAGATTTGTGTTGAGACTTCCATCAATGACAACAGACAACTTGGCAAAGGCAAAAAGGAAATCCAATTATCCTCTTGAGACAAAAATACACACACCCTGACAAACAAACGCACTTGACCTTTTTTTTTTGTTCGCAAAGATCGTAACAACTCAATTCCAAAGAAAAGTAGATTATCTCGTCTTTTGGGAGTGAAAATTAGGGTGCTGATCGAATCTAAATCCCGTGCGCCGCGGTAGCGTGGGAAAAAACGAGATACGCAATCCGCAGTTTCGGAACAAATTGCTTTCGGAAATTGTGAAAGACGCTGTCTGTAGGTACAACATCATTCGCAGAAGAATACCTACAAGGGAAAATAAAAGTGAAGAAAGATATAATTGAACTCACCTGTGATGTGGGAGGACTAGTTTGTGACAAATGACTTCCTAAGTGGTACGGAGCGCCCGGTGCGAAGTAGCTGGGTGTGATGCCTGGCGGAAGAAAATAAGAGATGAGGTGAGCTGCGATGAGTCACTTTAAAGCTGAAGATGGTTTGGGTGGTTTGGGAAAATGTCGATACTCGATATGATATGGTCTTATAATAATACTAAATAATTGAACTTGTAGCGTACAGTTTTGAATCCACTCACCTGCCCGCAGTGCATCGACCGGCACGGAGGGATACGTCATCGGGTAGGGATAGCCATCGCGCCGGATCGGTTTCGGTTTTCTCCTCGGTCGATACTTGTAGTCGGGATGTTCCTTCATGTGCATCGCTCGCAACCTTTTCGCCTCGTCGATGAAGGGCCGCTTTTCGTCCTCGGTCAGCAGCTTCCATTCGGCTCCTGTTTGGGAAAGGGAATAACAATAGAGTCACGGGATCAGAACAAATTTCCAAACTCTAAAGGTTAGCTCCATTCATCAATGGCGGGGCAGCTGGAAAAGAACACTCTTTCTGTTCGATTCTGTTATTTCAGCATAGTCTATTTTTCTTCGATTTTTGTTTTCCATCCCTCTATAGCCAGACACAGAGCAAATGGAACGCGGCATCAATGGGTAGAAAATGGAAATGAGAAAATAAAACAGTATGTTTTTTTTTGGGAAAGACCATGCTAGTCGTATTGTTCTGACAACAACAACAACGATGACGACGACGACGACGACGACGGTTCGGATTCTTTCTCTTCCCGGGATATTTGAACAATGCGACTCGAAAAAACATCCGGAAGCTGTGCTCGGACTAGATACCTACAACATGTCGTTTTCCCCCCGTTTTGTGTTGTTTCTTTTTCTCCCACACTTTGTATCCATTTTGTAAATTACAATTCGCTGACTTGCAACTTACATTCAGCGCGAGGAGGCCATTCCCGCTTGGCATGATGCTGCTGCTGGAATCGACCGAATGGTTTGTGAGCTTCGAAATGCCTCTTAGAAATTTGGAAAAATCTTCTGCCAATGCATTAAAATTTAAACCTTAAATTGCAAATTTTAAGTACCATTTACATTTATTCGAAACTACCGATATCGCAGTGTTGTTTGCCTAGCTCTTCCAACATCCAGCGCACAACGAACAGCAACGCTTTCCGTTCTCGAAGAGAACCTAGGCGACCCATCACCATCCAAATGGATGGAGGTTGTTACATTTGATAGGAAATCCAGAGCCCGTCTGCCGGTTGGCTGGTTCCTCTAGTTATGCATTAGGAATGTACCTACCGAGCGAAGCATGTTGCCATTGGTAGCAACCAGTGGTCCGGAATGGGCTAATGCGCGCGACATTCTGGTCGTCGCTCGGATGAAAATTTGTTGTGCAGGTCCTGACGGACACTGACGATGACGCTGACGATGATGATCATGACGAGAACGGAAGGATGAACGACAGTTTCAACCACGCGGAATGCAACCATCGGAGTGGAACATATCCGAGAACTTTAATGGGTTAAATGTAAAAAGGGATGATGCTTTTGATTAATCCGCAGATGGAAAAAATACGGATTGAGGAATTTCATATTTTTTATTTAACATACATGTAAACTTCCTTTTCACGTAAACTAGCAGCTTGCAAGGAATGTTGCAAACAAAAGAGGACAGTTGCATACAATATATGGAATATTGCATGACATGTCTCTTAAATTTACACGATCTATAATCTAAACTTGTATGATATATGACGCTCCATTTATGTGCATCATAGTAACGGAAATTTACACTACTTTTTTTAGCTGTGTATGTTGTTGGTACGGCCAAGTAAAAAGGCACGGCACTGTTATTGAACAGCGTTTTATTCCTTTTAGGATCGCTTCAAACTAGAATTTAAGTTAGGGTTAGTTTAGCAATGTAGGTTTAGATTTGTAGGTTGCCACTTACAAATCAATGCCTTTTCTCTGGCTGTCCAACTAAGCTTTAGTCCTAGTTTTAGTGCTATTCTGGATAGAAATCAATATAATCAGGTTTAAATTCACACTATAGATTTAGGATTATTTGCCGTACGCAACAATAGGAAACTAGATTAAGAAACGAACTATTTAGGCACTAGTTTATGAAAAATACTTTTCACCCGCGTGATTCTTCGTTTGCTTGACTCAAAAGATGATGTCTTTTTTTTAAGGTGACGTTTATACTGTCGGTCCCGTAGCACATAGACTAGCGGTCTGCTAGACACAGTTGATTGGACCCGCAGCCAGTTCGCCGGGTGCGTTAGCGAGTGCCCCTGTGGAAACATGTGTTTTAGGATTTAAGTAGCTACACATACAAGGCACTAATTACAAGTCTTGAATGATATGTTCAGAGGATTTTCAAGGAAAAATCAGACATCTTGGAATAAGTGGAGGGTAATTTAGTAGTCACCCCGGTAGCGAGCCACTTTTTAGTGACTTGGTTACTTTTTTGAGCCAGTCACTAAAAGTCTCCCTTTTCAAGGCCAAGTCACCAAAGTTACTTTTTCTTGTAATCAGTCACTGTTTTCAATTTTTTTGGCGTGAATTTATTTCAAGATTGATCATTCTTTGCTTGGTGACGTTTAATCGTCTTTCTCTATCCACAGGGTGTCTACTAATTTTTCTAATTAAAATTACCTAAGTTTTTCATGTTTTTCAAGAACATTAACGGATCAATTCCAGGCTTATAATAAGAAAGCCATTTTTAAATGCGTTAAAATTGTTCCTTTTCTTGTAGATCAAAAACAACAGCAATTAACCCAAACGTTTTTAAAACATGGCAATCGGTTTTAAAGAAACAGCGTTACAATCAAATCACTAGCGTGCCCAGGAATCTTGTTAAGGAGAGGATTTTTTTCTTCTATGGTGAATTTAATCTGGGGATGGAGTACTTCAAAGTGCGTAGTGCATGGTGTTGTCTACCCACCACTGTTTTCCTACACTGAGGCAAATAAACGTAAGAATTTCATATGGCTCGACTTATGAACGATACATATGAATTTCATTAGCGTTACTTATGAATGATTTTCGTCTAACATGAGGTAGTTTTTATTGGCCATTAACCATTTCATTTTTTCAAGTGTTGAAAGACGAGTGGTCAACACACGGGGCTTGTAACCTCAACGTCCATGGTTTGGTTCCAGTCTGCTCCATTTTATAATTTTTTGTCAACATTATTTTCCATAAGGCAAATCAATGAAATTCATACCGATTTCTTGTAGCAAAACTTCATAAATTGTTCTTATGCAATTCTTACATTCTTTTACCTCAATGTACTGTTCAATTTAGCTGATTTTATTTATTTTTTGCTCCGGTGGTGGTTCATCTTCTTCAATGCAAACTACTTTCAGACAGCCAATGGAATTGGCAATTCAATCCAATCGACGATGTCGATGATGATCGGTTCGTCAAATGGTTGTGATCAGTGCTGATAAAAATCCTTTCTTCTACACTCAATTTAGCTGAAAATGAAGAAAACCTTAACAAATAGACCAACTACCTGCATGAATTTGAATTTTGATTTAAACAAATTCCCTTGATCTAGGCAACCTCTGAGTATCAAAAATAACATTTGTTTTTCTTCATTCGTGGCTGGATTCTCATTATCGCCTCTGTTGTTGTAAATATTGATATTCGTCTTCATCTTTGTCGGGATGATATTGAGGATCAAATGCAAAATGATTATTTTCATTTTAAACAAATATAGCGCTGAAGAACGTGGTTTCTAGACATAAGTCGACGACAAATTATTGCCTCAAGCAGAACTGATGATAATATCGATGATTTAGGCAGTGTGGTCGACAATATTCAAAATAATCATTTGCCCAAAATGTCGTTGATTATTTTGCTTTTGAGGATCACTTCTGATTTTGACAATTTTGGGTTTAATAATCGAGCACTGGTGAATATCAACAAACGCGTATTCGTATAAACTCATTTGTTCATTTCGCTCGTTTCGTAACTACGAAGATGTTCAAAACAAACGCAATTCATCGACACTGGGTTGAAGCGATACTCCTTGCATGTGGTGGTAAATGATAAAAACAGACACTGGTTGTGATAGTAGGACTCTAACCGAAATGATACATTTGCTGCAATGTTGTTGCCTTGGTGGTTGGATTCAGCTGAAGTCACGTCAGATGGTGGTGATAGCACCGACAAACCGACATGAATGACTAATAAGAATCGCATTCTCCTTTCGCATGCACACTGCGTCGACAAGTACAAGGTTCAAACAGTGCGCATAGCAGTGAACAAACAGTATACTGCTCTTGATCAATCCAATCTTGATCAGTGGTGTTGAGTACTTGTCACTGATGAAATCTGCAAGTAGTAGATGAAATACGCGTATCGGACAAAAGATAAGCAATTATAACGGATGTCATAAAAGAACATTGCTGTTTTTGTCCTTATCCTTGCTTGTACTCCAGCAGTGCTGCCAGCCACTGTGCTGGCACTGTCAAAACATACTGCCATCACCTCCTCCCAAGAAATCTGCATCGCTGTCAGGACCTCAGCAATGGTATTGAAGATGAACGTCGTGTCTGTTTTCAACACCCGTCTCACACCCACGAATGTTTCCGTCGGCCAATGATTATCAATATACCTGATGACAATCGCCGTGGTGGCCACAATCGCTCGTCTCATCTGCAATGATTGCCACTGGTTTTCGCAATGTTCCGCAAAATTGCATTGTGCAACGACGTAATCATTTCATTTTGAATACGGTTACTTGTGTGCTGGAAATTTTTGGCACCTTCCGTCAAGTGTTTTTCCAGCACAGGATCGTAGTTAGCCACCAACTGGGTGGCACACTTTCCGCTCCTTCCGAATGTTCACGAAGTGGTCGGCCACCTTTGTAAAGTATGCGCACAATATCGACGAAACGTTCCATTATATAGCGATTTTGTAGCAGCTTTGCCTCACTAGCAGCAATCATAGCTGTTTTTTTGGTGTTTCAGTTCTTCGTCGATACCCTTCCTGGTTTTGAAATTCTTCTACGCTTCCATACTACCAACATGGGTATCACTGCGATTGTGTTTGCCCAGCAACTCGGTCGCTTTCTTCCAATTTCTGAATTCTGTAGGTATCGTTGTAATCATGTCTTGCGTCATGCTCTTCTTTACAGTTTAAAAATATAAACCAAAGGAAATATATTCTTCAACGTACTGGTATCATCTTTTATTCAGTTACCTTTCTGAATTTTTGTGCAGTACATTTTTGTATATTTTGAAGGCATCGTTACAGTTTATTTTTGACTATTTCAAGGTTTTGTTGCTGTTGTAGTTACACTTTACTATTATCGTTGCGAGTACGTTAAACTTGGTTATTTTCAGCAAAAATTGTAGTTCTAATTTTTTTTTCAAATTTTAACCTTAATGCCAAGGCCAATAGGATCATTAAAATGTTTCATATAATATGTAACAAAAGCGCACAAAACTATTTTGACAAGCGAGTACAGGATTGTTAACGGAATTACGACTTGTGCAAAGGATTGAGCATAATCTTATTTTTCGCAAATAGAAGAATCGTCTACTCTTGTACGTCCCGGAGAGCGGAAGATTTGGTTATCTTTAAATATCACGAAGACGTTGGTTAAAGTTAAAGGATCACATCGTGAAATGTGTCACGTGTATATCATTCAATCCGAAGCAGAAGAAGTTAGATGGACCATTAAAACTCGTGGACAAGACGAATGTTCCATTTGCAACGATCCATATTAATCATTTGGGACCGTTAGATAGGACGAAAGGGAAAAACGAACATATTCTTGCAGTAGTTGACGCGTTAACCAAATTTTTGAAGTTGTATTCAACGAAGACTACCAACTCGCGTGAAAAGATGAGACATTTGAAATCGTATTTTATCGCATATTCTACGCCAGATGTTCTCGTATCGGATCGTGGTACCGCGTTTACCTTAGATCAATTCAAATCATTCGCTAACGATCACGGATTTCGACACCAGCTTGTAGCCACCGCGTGTTCTCAGACTAATGGCCAAATATGATGATGATGATGGTCCCACCTCTTACCCCTACAAAGGTTTGAGCTGGACGAGTTATCTTTAAGATAATTAAATATAAACATTTAAACCAGGTTTGCAAACAAAATCGAGCTGGTTACAATTACAGATATAAATGTCCTGTTAAATATGTTATAGGCATCAACCAAAAACAT